GGGGGCATTTGGGAGATGCTTGGGGGGCTGGGGGCGCTTGTGGGTCTTGGGACATTTGTGGGGCTGGGGGACACTTGGGGGGTGGGGGAAGTTGTGGGGCTGGGGGCGCTTGGGGGTGTGGGAACTTGGGGGGTGGGGGGCACTTGGGGGGCAGAGGACACATGGGGCAGGGGGCACTTATGGGGCACTTATGGGGCACTTATGGGGCAGGGGATACATGGGACACTTATGGGGCACGGGACACTTATGGGGCACTCATAGGGCACTTATGGGGCAGGGGACACTTATGGGGCAGGAGATACATGGGACACTTATGGGGCACGGCACACTTATGGGGCAGGAGATACATGGGACACTTATGCGGCAGGGGACACTTGTGGGGCAGGGGACACTTGTGGGGCACTTATGGGGCACTTATGGGGCACTTGTGGGTCGCTCACCCCCCGCCGTCCGCCCCCCGTAGTGCAGAATGAGGAACCCGATGGCCAACGTCTGCAGCAGCAGGAACAGCGCCTCGCCCCACGCGCTGTGGGGCAGACGGGGGACATGTGGGTCTGGGGGGGTCGCTGGGGTCCCTATGGGGTCTGTGGGGCGGCTATGGGGTCTGTGGGGTGGTGATGGGATCTGTGGGGCAGCTATGGGATCTATGGGGCAGCTATGGGGTCTGTGGGGTGGTGATGGGATCTATGGGGCGGCTATGGGGTCTACGGAGTGGTTATGGGATCTATGGGGCGGCTATGGGGTCTGTGGGGTGGTGATGGGATCTATGGGGTGGTTATGGGGTCTATGGGGTGCCTATGGGGTCTGTGGGGTGGTGATGGGATCTGTGGGGCAGCTATGGGATCTATGGGGCAGCTATAGGTTCTACGGAGTGGCTATGGGATCTATGGGGTGGTTATGGGATCTATGGGGCAGCTATGGCAACTGTGGGGCAGCCGTAGGATCTATGGGGCAGCTGTGGGATCTATGGGGCAGCCGTGGGGCTGCTATGGCATCTATGGGGCAGCTACGGCAACTATGGGGCAGCCGTGGGACCTATGGGGCAGCTGTGGGATCTACAGGGCAGCTATGGGGCTGCTATGGGATCTATGGGGCAGCTGTGGGATCTATGGGGCAGCTATGGCAACTGTGGGGCAGCCATGGGACCTATGGGGCAGCCGTGCGATCTATGGGGCAGCTGTACGATCTATGGGGCAGCTGTGGGATCTACAGGGCAGCTGTGGGGCTGCTATGGGATCTATGGGGCAGCTATGGGGTCTGTGGGGCAGCTATGGGGTCTGTGGGTGGTTATGGGATCTGTGGGGCAGCTATAGGGTCTATGGGGCAGCCATGGGATCTATGGGGCAGCCGTGGGACCTATGGGGCAGCTATGGGGCTGCTATGGGATCTATGGGGCAGCCGTGGGATCTATGGGGCAGCTGTAGGATCTATGGGGCAGCTATGGGGCTGCTATGGGATCTATGGGGCAGCTACGGCAACTATGGGGCAGCTGTGGGATCTATGGGGCAGCCGTGGCAACTATGGGGCAGCTATGGGGCTGCTATGGGATCTATGGGGCAGCTATGGCAACTGTGGGGCAGCCATGGGATCTATGGGGCAGCCGTGGGATCTATGGGGCAGCCATAGGATCTATGGGGCAGCTGTAGGATCTATGGGGCAGCTGTACGATCTATGGGGCAGCCATGGGATCTATGGGGCAGCCGTGGGGCTGACGCGGAGATCCTACGGGATCTATAGGGCAGCAATGGGGCAGAGCCCCCCGCCCCCCCCACCCCACACATCCCCCCCCGCCCCCCATTACCTGAAGGGGAAGCCGTGCCCCACACTGTAGGCCACCGACCCCCCCAGCGCCAGCAGCTCCAGCCCCACGGCGCCCAGGCTGAGCCCGGCCCCACTGCGCGCCCCATAGATCTTCAGCAGCTGCGGGAGCTTCACTGGGGGGCGGGGGGGGAATAGAGGGGGTGTGGGACACGCAGAGACCCCGCCCCATAGATCCCCGCCCCATAGATCCCCGCCCCATA